TGGGATCTTCCCAGACCGGGGCACAAACCCGTGTCCCCTGCATCGGCAGGCGGACTCTCAACCACTGCACCACCAGGGAAGCCCCTCGCCAAATCTTGAAGTAGTGATTCCATTCCGGGAAGGCTCTTCTCCGTTTTTCTTTCTTTTTTCTTTTCTTTTTTTTTTTTTTAACATCTTTATTGGGGTATAATTGCTTTACAATGGTGTGTTAGTTTCTGCTTTATAACAGAGTGAATCAGTTATACATATACATATGTTCCCATATCTCCCTTTTTCTTTCTTTCCTTGTTTTTTTTTTTTTCTCCCTTTTATTCTAAGTCGTGGGGATGACTGTAATGACTTTCACATGCCCACTGTCTAAGAATAAACAAGTACTAATGTGTTGTCCTTTTGGTATCAGCTGTCCACTGTTGGGAAATAGTCCTCCATGGGTCTCTCACCTTTTTGTGCATTTGCGAGTGAACTACTGGGCCATCTTTTCCAGGGTGTTTGGATGGTGAACGACTGTGGAAGGTAGAGATGGCTGTTCCCTTCAGAACAAAGGGCAGGTCACTTATGACCTTGGAAGACAGAGTGTGTCTGGCAATGGAGCAAATGGCAGGTATGCTTAGTGCCCATTATGAAATTATCAGGTTCCTTAAACCCAGGGTCCTTCTCTCCTGTAGTCCAACCACTGCACATGCAGGTGTCACCTGGTCCTCTTCGCGTTGCCCTTAGGAAACTGGCACCAAAACGCTGATCTGTCACTACTGCCACTGCTGTGAGTAACAAACTGCCTTTTGTCTCTGATCCAGGAGTTTTGTGCCAGCGTCCATGAAACTGTTGTAGGTTACTATTTAAACCATCACAGGCCAGAGAAACAGGTGGAAATAGCTCCCAAGTAATATGAATATTAAAACGTGATGAGGATAGAAAAAGAAAACTAGAAAATTTCCCTTATGAATGTAGAAGCTAAGATACTAAACAAAAATTAGTAAAAAGCACAAAAATCCAGTGGAAAGTTACAAAGAGAATGAAAGGAAATTAAGCCCATGTTTATTTCAGGTTCATAAAGATAGTTTAAAATTTGGAAATTCATCAAAAAAATGTACTGTGTTAGATTAAAAGAGAAAAAAACCCGTATTATTATAGCAGTAGAAAGTAAAAGCATTTGATAAAATCTAGCAACAATTACTAATAAAAATTCCATGTAAGTTAGGGATAGAATAAAACTTTTTAAACACGCTGATGACTGTATCAAACTATGAAACAGAGAAGCCATTTTAAAATCTGGAACAAATAGCATTGACCACTTGTATCGTTATTTAGTATTGTTTTGGAAGTTTCAAATAATGCAATAGGACAATAAAATATGTAAAATGTTGGAGAAAAACCAGTCACAAAGAGGCGGTATGGGCCAAGGAAAGATTAGGAACTTGAGACGCACAGACATGGATCAGAATCTCACTTTGGCTCCATTTTATCTATGGAACTTTGGGCAAGCTATTTAATTTTTTACCATTCAATTTTCTCTTCAGTGAAATAGGCATAATAATAATTTTTGGAGATCCTGCACAGATTAAATTCCCTGCTGTCTTGCTTTTTTTTTTTTTTTTTTAAAATATTTATTTACTTGGACTTCCCTGGTGGTCCAGTGGGTAAGAATCTGCACTCCCAATGCAGGGGGCCTGGGTTCGATCCCTGTTCGGGGAACTAGATCCCACATGCATGCTGCAACTAAGAGTCCGCATGCCGCAACTAAACATTTCTCAGTGAAGATCCCGAGTGCCTAAATATTTGTTTATTTAGGCTGCGCCAGTCTTAGTTGTGGCACTCAGGATCTAGGTCCCTGACCAGGGATCAAACCCAGGCCCCCTGCATTGGGAGTGCGGATTCTTACCCACTGGACCACCAGGGAAGTCCTCCTGTGGTCTTGTTAAAGAGCCCAGCTCAGTGCCTGACACATGTTCGGTGTTCCACAAATGTTAATTCCTTCTGACACTTTCAACCTCTGAGAATTTGAAAAAGAATAAGGATTTGGATGTCTGTGAAGCCTGTCACGATAGCAACCTCTGTGATTAAGAATAAAACCAGTATAGAGATGCCTAATTCCTTTTGTTCAAGCCTCTTCCAGAAACCTGAGAACTTTCAACAGTGGCAACCCAAATTGGTGATTCTGCCTCTTACAGAAGAAAATCAATAAACATTAGCTCCTCTGAAGCAGACAAATTACAGGAACAACAAGTTCCACAGTGTTTCATAATCTTATGACAAACACCATCCGAGTTCCTGGATGAGGAATCTTTTCTTACCAGGATCCTGCTGGCCAGTCCCAAAGTGGGCTTTGTCTCCCTCTCTTGGTTTTGTCGCTTTGCTCATACGACTTGTTTGCCCTTTTGCCTATTGCCTATTGTGAGCTTGGCCATCTCCTGGTTTGGTAAGTTCCCAGCACTTCAGAGGCAGCCCATGTCCACGGAGAGTCCTGGGAGGCCTCCTGATCTGGCCACTTAACTATTGGGCCTCAGCTCCAGCGCTGACAATGAAGGTTTATTTCTCTGGAATATTTTTAAAGCCTATGGCTCAGTCTTCTCTGCTCATCTGAGAGAAGTATCTTTGAGTCAGCTTAGGGAGACACCACTCCCACTGTCAACTCTGGGATTTAGGGTCTGTCCTGGGCCACAAAAGAGCCCTCAGACCTACCCCTGCCTCAGGCAAGTCCTCATGTATGAGCTGGACCCCATGTTCCAATCTGAGTATGTTGTCCTCAGGCAGTTCTATTAGGAGTAGGGGTGCAGGGAATGTGAGGTTGGGGCACTGGTGGAGAAAGTTGGGCTGCTCTGGACATGTAGAGAAAGGTATAACTTGGGCTTGAGAGCGAAGGAAACAAGTCATGAAACTGACTCTGTGGCTCGATCATCTTTATTTATTTGTTTGTTTGTTTAGTCTGTGCTGGGTCTTAGTTGCAGCATGCAGGATCTTTAGTTGCAGCATGCAAGATCTTTTTTAGTTGTGGCATGTGGAATCTTTAGCTGTGGCATGAGGGCTCTTAGTTGTGGCATGCAGGATCTAGTTCCCTGGCCAGGGATTGAACCCGGGCCCCCTGCATTGGGAGCGCAGAGTCTTAACCACTGGACTACCAGGGAAGTCCCTGGATCATATTTATACATCACAGAAATGTCACTGGACTTGATAGCTGAGATAGCTCAGGCTCAGAGGGGTTAGGTGATTTGCCCAACACTGCACAGCACTGGAATCAAGACTGGATCCAGATCCTCTGACTCCTGGTCCAGTGCTCACTCCTTTCACTCAAGGTCCTGCTCCTCCCAGGTTTGCTTTGGTGATGCAGCAGGCAGGACTCAGCACATTAGTGGTGTGCTTGGAGACTTGGTTTGGTCACCACCTCAGCACCTGGTGTGGTCACACTCTTCAGATCCTAAAGCCTTCAAGGCTGGGGTGACGGGGTGGGACAGGAAAGGGGAGGAGCAGAAGCAGGAGGGATTGGGGGCCCTGTCAGGGTGCAGGGAAGGCTGGGGCTCAGAACTCTAGATGATGTGCCAGAGGATGTCGGACTCACAGACAGCAGGGCAGGGTGTAGCAGATAACCAGACAGACCCTCACTGTGCCTCCAGCAGCCCATAGTTTAGGGAGGGCACAAAAGATGTGGAAGATCCTCTCTCTGCTAGCAGGACCTCTTCTGAGGTGGAATTGGCAGTGCTGGAAATTCCGGCCCAGGGTAGGCCCAGCTGCATAGACCCTACTGCATGGCCGTGTCCAGTAGGTGACAGGGCCATCCCTGGGCAGTGACATGAATTTGACCTTGGGGAAGGGAACCCAGGGCAGCATCCTTTCCCTTCATACGTCTACTTCCCTGTTGACTGGCTTCCCTCTTGACCCACACCCCCGCTTTTTGCTGCCAAATGAGTGGTGAGGGCTGTGTCATGTGAACGATAGTCACAGAGGATCACGGGCAGTTTTCAGGGTGTGCATTCACACCCTTTCCTGTCATTAGGAAACATGCAGTTTCTTTGAGATTTGACTCACCACGTTTCTTGTTCTTGCTTTCTTTCTCTTGAAGCATGGGGCCAGCTGGGTTCATTTCTGCTGTAGTAGAAACATAGACGCCACCTCTTTACTGTAAGAAAATCAACACCGTGGACATGATGACCAATGGCAGCTGATGCTGAGGCTCAGAGCTGGGGAGGCCACAGGACTGATGGCTCCTGAAGAGGACGCATCCCACAGCGGGCCATAGCTTCCTGGCACCCACCTCTAACCGTCATGGAAGCCAGCAGTCACCAGCTCTTTCTATTTTTTTAAGAGAAGCTGAAAATCTAAATTGAAAAACTTTGGCACAAAATTTCTCAAAGATACAGATAGAACAAGCAAAACACGATTTGATTTGAAGGCGGGTTCGTTTGTAACTTCTGAGCTACCTGTTCTTTAAAAAAAATTCCTCCCAGGTATTTCACCTCTGGGTCTCTTCCTCAAAACCCATAATTTTAGTCTATTCTGAGACAACATCAGACAACCTGAATCGAGGGACAGTGTATGACATACCTGACTAGTAATTTTCACAATGGTCAAGGTCATGATAAACAACGAAACACAGAAAAACGGTCGCAGATTGGAAGAGACGAAGGAGACATGATGACTGCACTCCATGTGGGATTCTGGAACGTTAATGGAGAAATGGGTGAAATCTGACTAATGTCTGGAGTGTAGCTGATGTCAGGGTACCAATGTTAACTTTTTAACTTGGACAAATGCAGCGCGGTCAGGAAAGATGTTATCATTAGTGGACACTGGGCTTAGGGTATATGGGAAATGTTGGCACTACATTTGCAACTTTTCTGTAAATCTAAATTTATTCCAAAATCAAAAGCTTATTAAAAAGAAAAAGTCCCTTCCAGGCCTGAGATAACCTCTGGTTGTTATGGTTCAGAAAATGAAGCCAGGTTTCTAATGTCAAAACAAATGCTGTCCCACTGGTGTTCTCCCTCCTGCCCTGTGAAGTGTACTTAGTACAGTGTCAAGTTCTACTGTCATTTTCTTTTAGATCAAATGGGACCAAGGACTCCTAAAATGGGCCTGAGGGTTAGCCCAGAAGCATGCAGGTGGTCAGGCAACTTTACAAAATGGTGTCTCTCTTTCTACTAGAAAGAGAAACTCTGTTTAATGGCCACACACACTGCTGTGCTCCCGCTCTACCTGCCTTACAGTGACTGGAGTTTGAAATTCAGAGGCAGAGTTCTAGGTGCACTCCCAGGACTGACATTTGCCTATGGATATGGTGGTTGGACCTGCCAGCCAGGCTGTGCCACTGCATCACTTTCTAAATGGCTTCTGGCATTGTGTCGGAGGATCCAAGAAGAGCCCCCTCCTTTCTAAGAAAACATTCTCAGTATCAGGAACACTGGGGAGAGAGAGAGAGGGCTGAAGTGAGCTGTCAGAGAGAGGAAGGGGCCAGCATGGGAGTGAGAAACCTTGACAAATATTTTCATCTCTGTAGAGCAGTCAAGTTTCTCCAAACGAGTGGTTCCTCCAACTCCACAGGAATTGTATAACTCTGCAGTGTTCCCAGGCAATTATTCCTGCTTGCAAATCTGAGCCTCCCCTTTCAGGTTCCAAACAAGTGACCACAAATCAAAGAGAGCCTGGACTCGTTCCACTAATAGCATGGAAAGCCATTAGCTGAAGTTGTTTGAAAAGGGAAGTGGCCCAGATATCTCTGGTCTCACAAGAAAAGCTTCTGTAATATCAGATTATGGTTACCAAATGGCTTAGGGACTGAGGCATCATGTTTCTCATAACGAGAGGTTATTTATTGCACCACTGAACCAACACTCTCCCTTGCTCACTTGCACAAGATATGATGAAGAGTCCTTTCAAGTTGAATTAAGTTTAAATGGAAAAGTAACACACAGGCTCCCAGCTAATGCTTGGGTTTAGCTCTGGTGCTGTGGGCAGAGAGGGTAGAGGGCTCCCTCTGTGGGTGGTCCCGGGGGCTCTGCAAGGCCCTCTTTGCACCGGTCTCTAATGAACTCATGGGGATCATTCCTTGGGGTTAGGGCCCTGTTTCCAAGAGAGTCTTTGTCACAAATGTTGAGAATCTGGGCTGTTCACGATCATTAACCTAACAGGGGCCCCCACTTTCTTTGGGGAACTATTTCTCCCAGTCCCCCTTCCCTGTGGTTCTGAGGGGCTGCCAATCCCAGAACTCCATGCTCTTGGCCAGGGCTTAGGCATGTACCCATCCCTTGAGCCACAGTGATTGTTTCGGGGATGGGCACATGACAGAATCTGGGCCAATCGGAGGCCCTGTTCTAAGAGCTAGTGGTGAAGTCATCCTAACTCAGGGAGGTTGGAGGGATGTTTGGGAATCTAGAGCCCCCCAGGCTATGTTTTCAGTCACGCAGAGAAAATCCGTCTTCGCTGGAATAATAAAGCCGAGTAGCGGTAAGGAGAGAGGGGAGGCGGAGAGAGAGGGGTCTTCATGGCGTCGAGGCCCAATTCTAGGCACCGAGAGCCCAGACATGTGTCTGGATGCTCCAGGATCTTTACAACGAAGCTGCATCTTAGTTAGTACTGGGCTTCTACCACTCTCAGGAGAGAACATTCTAACGCTTTCATCAATGTGCCCATCTCCTACGGCTTTCCATAAACACCGTTCCTGCACGGGCAAGAGAAAGCTGCCTGTTTAGAGTCTCTGAGGGCACACCGTAGGTGGGCTCCGAGATGTCAGGGGCCCCAGCTGGTCAAGACGGAAGGGAGATAAAATCAAAACACCTCGGCTCCATAGATGCGAAAGCGGAGGGCTTTCCTTCCTGGGGTTTCATCCGTTTTGCTCATTGGGTTTTCTGGTAAGATTCTTTTGAAGAAAGGGCTCTGCAGCTAGAATAGTTTTACGTTCACCCTCTTAAAGGATCTTTACCTGCCTCTCCAGGGCTAATGTTCTTTATGGTTTCACTTTCCTAGTCCCCTGGCCCCGGGCATGATTCACGTTAGAGGCCTAAGAGTTTGCTATGTTCATGGGCGGGGTAGGCCCAGGCCCAGGGGATGCGGAGGGAGGTGGTCACGTGACTGGGGACAGGACCGAGCTCCCACCCAGGCCTTCCCAGCGGCGTCCGTTTCTGTCCCGACTCTGCAGGCCTCCGCCGAGATAAGCCTGGAGTAAGTCAGTCTTGTGGAGTTTCCGCCTCAGCTGGCCATTCTCATCCTTGGATGCCCCATCTCAGTCGGAAGAGTATGTGTGGGCGTTCTGGGTGGTCTGCGATTCCGGACTCCTGGAACAATCCGGCGGGAAGGTGGCCGCTGGCCAGCCCAGGTGCCCTGAGGCCCCCGCAAGCCAGAGAGCCTGCTGTGAGTGTGGCAGGATGTCAGGCCGGAGGGGGAGGCCAGAGGACAAAGGGAAGCATGTGGGGTGGAGAATAATAAACTCCTTCATGGCTCTGAAGGCTCGCCGAGACTGATGTTCAATTATAAATAATCCCAGGATTTGTTCAAAGCTCAACAGCCGCCCTGAGTGCCCTACAGCTGGGCAGAGCAGCCCACGTGACTTTTCAGATCTCAGGGGTGTGACAACCTCCCTGATGGCCTTTGCAGTGATGCTGGGGGGAGTGGGTGGGTGCGTTTGAGAACACAACTGAGAGACATTTATCGAACTGAAATCGAAGTTCCCACCACGCATGTTTACTGAGTTTTTGTGCAGGTATGTTAAAGAACTCTGCGCTTGCAGTGGAGAACTTTTAATTTGTACAGCTAATCTTTTTATTTTATTTTATTTTATCCTTTTTATATTTAGTTTTTTAACATCTTTATTGGAGTATAATTGCTTTACAATGGTGTGTTACTTTCTGCTGCATAACAAAGTGAATCAGCTATACGTATACATATATCCCCATATGTCCTCCCTCTTGCGTCTCCCACCCTCCCTATCCCACCCCTCTAGGTGGTCACAGAGCACCGAGCTGATCTCCCTGTGCGATGCAGCTGCTTCCCACTAGCTATCTATTTTACATTTGGTAGTGTACAGCTAGTCTTTATTGAGCACCTACATACATATTCTGAGCTAGGCACTGGGGTGGACGGGGAGCATAGAAAAATATGGCCTTGCACCTGAGTGGGAGAAGCAAAGATGAGGCGA